TACCTTCATATATCTGAAAAAAAAGACAACTTCAGTAATCAATGGATTAACAAATATTAAGTAATACTTACAACTTGTGAGGGAAAGACCTCATCTTTCTCTCGATATGAATCTAAATTTTGATAAACCTAAAGTTTAAGAAAGAAGAATATTGAATCCAAGAATTACATGATTGTGTATCATTTACTGCATGTGGAATTAATTGATCTAATTTTTTCGTGAAACTATGGAACTTTTTTTCAAGTTTTTGTAAAATCATGTGATGCATATCATCAATTGTTTGATAAACTACACTAGCTGAAAATATATAACAATGATTATATTAAAATAATATTAAAAAATGACTTCATTTCTACACTATAAGTAGTTTTTGGAAAATCTATTGTATTCAATAAAGTCAAATGATTTTAAATAAACTTTTTAATAGAATTAACTGTTAGATGATTGTAAACTATTCTGATTCACAAATTAATCGGAACAGTAACACATACCTTCTACGATTTCATTTTCTTTATTATTTTCATTTATTGAAACATCATCTAAAAAGCAATATAATTACAATATAAGCGAATACAATAGAATGGAAAAGTTACTTTGGATCGACGAGAAATTATCCAAAAAACGACGACATTCTAAATAAAATAGATGGTATTCATAATTCCTTATTTAAAATCTTGATGCTACTGCTCACTTTTATTTGTCGACACATCTTTTTGTGTCGCGGCAGTATTATAATTGACGTCTTCTACAGCAGAATTAAAATAATATTCTTTGCAAATTTACTTCCTATTTGCGGTACGTATATAACTACTTTATCAGTTTAACCCTTTGAGTACCGGATTATTTTTATAATTTCAAACTAACGTTTATTTCGCAAAAAATATCACAAAGTACATCAATTAAAATGCTTGTAGAGTGTGATAGTCTTTTAAACAATCCATAAGACACAATCCTACATCACATTCAATGCATTCATACGAAGTATCTCTTCTTGATCTGGCTCTTCTCACAGTATTGGCACAAACGTAACATTTTCTTCTTTGATTTAGTTGAGTCTCTGTTGATTCAAAGCGCGAAGGGAGATGCTATCAAATGTGATCAAGTGATCAGAATCTTTACTATAGATAACACTCTTGAATGACTGTGTTAATATGAAAAATCCTGTTGATAACGATTATTCTTTCTTGGGAAATGTTGTTCAATGACTTATGTTCTAATTCATTGAATCACATAGTGGTCGATAGAAATATTAGGGAACAACCAATATTCATCACTACGTAAAGATAGTCTTAACCGTACAAATATCCTAAACGCAAATATTCATGCAATTCATATCATAAAACAATCAAACGATCATATTTTCTAAAGTTATTCGGATCCTAAGCTATCAGGACGCGAATTCATGTCGCCGGTACTCAAAGGGTTAAACTTTTACTTATAGTCAAAGTAAATTATTTTATAGCATGAATCTGCTGTCAAGGGAAAAAAATTCTTTGCATATGTTTACCATCGTTCTTTCAGCCATCAATGAAGACAATTTTCTTTTTTTTGTTAATGATGATTGTCCTGTACAAAAGAAACAGAAAAAGCAATTATTATCACTTGTTTATGAGAAAATCATAAGCATACTAGGTATTTCGTTCTGATCATTATCATCATTCATTGTATCATCATCTTCAAAATCATTTATTGCATCTAAAATATCTAATCGAAACATTAGATTATCACAAAAAAAGAAATCCCAATGCCTGTGGCATGGTCAAGCAGAATGATATGAACAAGCATTACCTTCTTGATCGCTAGTAACGTTCTCCTCCTGTAATTTCATTTGTTCATACATATTGTTACATTGACTATAAGTATCTACGATCAAAGCAGAAATCGTTCACTAATTTATTATGACTTTCAAAATAATAGGAACACATATGTGACATCAAATTGAAAAATCTAGTTTAAAAATTATGCGAATCTTATCTTTTCAAATAGCAATTTGATAGACCTAGGCATGCACCGAACCCGAACTCAAGTTCGGGGTTCGGTACATATCTAGATAGATCCATAACAGCTGGATGAAATTTAACATTCTATTATTCGCGCGATTCGATACTGCCATTGGCTATTTTATAGAACGATAAAATATATATCCTACCTTTAGCTTCGATTATTGCAAAGCGACGTTTTGAACCAGTTCCAACAATTGCTTTGTCTTCAATGATCGATCCAATACTTGAACGTTTAATCACAATTAATTCATCATTATCCTCAAAACGTAGTAGATAATTTTCTTGACTATATAAATTTGGTTTTGTTGGTGTAAATTTTTTCGGTGGATTTTTTTTTCGTGGAGATCGAATCATTTTTGATGATCAAAAAAAATCTAAAACAGGTCATTTAAGTAAAAAAATAAAATGAAATCAATTTTTAATTAGAATTATTTGATTCTCTATTTCAAATAACTCAATACATTATACAGAATAATTAATACAACATTATATTGATATATATTTAGTTATTTGAATTTGAAAAATACTAAAAAAATCTGAAAAACTTAGAATTTATTCTTTGTGCATAAATGAAGCATGGTTCCTATAACATAGTTCAATAAAAATAGCTCTAATTCCAACATTCGCAATTAAACTATTTTGATGATTACTTTCAGTATTCTATTTTTCCAAATTTTCTGAGAATAATATACGTGATAAAATTATTGCTTAATATACAAGGTCCAATAAACAGAAAATAGGTTGTCAAAAAATTTATTTTTTTATGTTTTAAAATAAATGAAATAAAAACTCATAATAAAGAATACTTTTAATCGTGTTCGTGGTATGCAGAAACTTCTGTTACAATTAATTGTTGTTGAAACTCAAATGTAATACAATGTTTTATAACATGATTAATATTAATAATATCAAATAAATCAGATGGTTCTTTCGACAATAGACTAAAACAATTATCTAATGGTTTTTCTAATAAAGAAAAATATGGTGATGTTTTAAATAAATAGCTGAAATTTTGATTTTGTGTATAACGTTGAACGACAGCATAATTTCTGTTGATACATGAAAAAAATAATATAATTCTTCCGAAATATTTAATATAATCATTTGCTGATTTACTATACGATATAAAATAACTATTTGATTTTCCTCGTTTATTATAAATTAATGAATGAAATATATAGTTACGTATAACACATCGTCGATAAATAGAGATACAAGTCAAATGATTTAAACATGTACATATTTTATCATGGTGTTGTATAATAGTGGGATAATCATTAATAATAATATTAACATTGAGGTCTATTGGTTTTGAAATTGTTTTGTATTTTGTATGGGAAATTTGTGCGTGTAAATCAAAATCAATAGAATAATAATGCACTACAAGATCAGAATAGTAATTCGAACCGTGAATATTTTTACTTATATGACCTATTAGATCTTCTTGATAGAAACAACCAATATTCGCTAACGAACCATAATTCTGGTATTGTGTACCAAAATGATGATGCATATGAAGCACATAATTTTGAATATCACTATAAAATATTCCATGATCTTTATAATATTGTTCAAATAATTTATCAGCTATTGCTTGTGTTTTATCACCAAACATTGGAGGCTGTGAATGATACAATCTAATTGAACAAATAAATAAAGCAAAATGAGCAAGTTGTTGATTATCAATAAATTCAAATGATAATGGTAAAAATCCATAGAATAGAATGTTTCGTAATTCTACTGCTTGTATAAAACGAAACTCTTTAAATGGTTTCATTTGACGATTGAAGAAATGTGGAAATGATTGGTACTTTAATTTATTATCAAATCGTTCACGATCTGATGGTTTAAGTTGTTTATAAATTGCCCTCAAAACAGTTTTTGTATGTCTTAACAAAGTGACATGTTGATAATCAATTAATATTGCATGTGGTAATGGTATGTCCAGTATATCTTGTAGAATTGAAATTCCTGTAATAAAAAAAGTTTTGTGTCATTTAAGCTTTCCCCCCTCCCCTCCTCAGAAACGAACTTTGTTATTTTCTCATCCGATTTCAACCAAAATTTCAGAGAATGGTAGTCTTGACTAGAATAGCTTATGGCTAAAATATCTCCCCCATATCTCAAAGATATGCGCAAGTTCCAGTCAATTCATTACCCTTTACGCGGGAAAGGTTTTCCCAATGGGGTTACTAGCTAATCATGTCGGGGTGGTTTTTAAATTGTAGAGTGACCTTAGGGCTAGATCCTCACAGGCTTCGATTTTTGAATTTCCCTTTGTTTGGTTTTTAAAAATACTTTTTCGAAAAACGTTCAAATTCAAAGTGCTAATAAATATGAAATATCTGAGTCTTTATTTCAGCAAAAGAGGAATTCAAAAATCGGAGCCTGTGAGGATCTAGTCCTGACTGTCCTCTATTCAACAAAAAAATTATCCCTTCTCTATTGCGTCATTATTAAAAAATCCTTCCCCGCGTAAACGGTAAACTCGAAAAAATTGATTTTGAGAAAAACGAAAAACAAATTTAGAAATGGATTTTTTATTCAAGCTGAAAAAACAACATATGAAAATAGCATATTTTCAGAATTTTGTCGATTTTTAAAACAAAAAGTGCAACTACAAAATAAGTGGCATTATACAAATTGTAGAGCTTTTCACGCTGCATCTTCTGATATATTTTGTTTTTTTTAATACAATGTATTAAAATAGAAAAGCAACGTTTTCCCGTTTTTGAAAGACTTCCGAGAATGTCTCGAAAAACATGATAGTAGGTCCCCAATCTCCTTTGGTAAGTTTATTAAAACCTGGCCTTCTTGGAAAAAAGGCATATATTTTCTGAAAGAGGAGGCTTCGGCGCATCTTCCTATGATAAAATCTCAACTTCGAGTTTTCTTCGAAAAAATCGGTTTGCTGAGAGGGTGGCCTCCCTTAAAAAGAAAAGTTAAATCTCTTTTTTTTCAGGAAATTTACTTCAAATATTTTTAATATTGCACAAGGATCTATTTTTTTATTTAAATATCTTTAAAATCTCGTATAACATTTGTGAACTATTAAAAAATATATCTCAACAAATACATTTTAAAGAATGTTGTATTAATAATTCACCTTTATGTCCGTAAATATTTTCTTTTGTTGTTTCAGCTTGCTTTGATTGTTTGTAATATTTCTCCATATGACGAAGAAATATTTTTTTTCCGTAAAAGTATTGCCTTTTTCTTCCAATATCAATACCACGTACATAACAGAAATTGCAACAATAATAACCACCATGTCCAATAAAATTAAGTATTTTACTTAAGGCTGGTGAATCACCAGTAATTGATAGAAATTTAATATTAATACGATGATTTTCATTTATTATTATCCCTAAAGTAGATGAAACAAAAATGTTATTCATTCTATCATATCGAAAATCATACTAACTGCGTTAAACTAAATTTATTTGTATCTGTCACAGAATAAATTAATAATATAAACATTTACGAAGGTACTAACAAATAAGAGGGAAAGATAATAAAAAACTATGATTAGCGTATATCTAAAATTATATCAACTTCTTAAAATTTGTTTAGAGTTTTTGTTTTTATAATTCGATTTATATGCGGTAATTATTCCTTTTTTTCTATGTGAACAATGACGAAAGTTTATATTTTTCTAATACGTTTCGTATAAACCAATCATAAATTAATCATTCTTTTTCTCCTTTTTCTACTCGCAATAGTTTATCGAATCAATACATATATATATATTGAAAATCAAAACAAAGAAACATTTTATTATTAATATCTATTGTTAGATATTAATCGAAGCTTAAAGTTCTGAATCAAATATAATATATCGCTTCAAATTTCTTTTTTTTTAAGGAATTGTCATTAATGTACTAAATCTGAGAAAAGCCTGGTTCAATTATATCTGACCTTTCATTTTTATCATTTTGATCAAATTTGCACAATTTCG